TCCTATGCGTTAACATATCTCCAAACTAGACTTTAATACTTACATTTATACCACCCAAATCTTTCATGTCATGTCAAAACAACATCGATACGGCTTCTAGCGCGTGTGCGCAAAGATGTGTATGTAGAGGGATCAAAACTTAAGGTGTTAGAAATGTAAATCCATAATAATTGTGCGGTAGGTATGTAAATGCCCCCAATACTTTAACATATCAATGTGCATAAGACTGGTATCAATAACTAAACTGGAAAATAAAGCCGTAGGTTTCGTATTTGTCAAAATCATTAGGCAAATAGTTGAAAATACCAAAGATTAATAGATTGTAAATAATAAATCAAACGGTTAAGTTGAAATCATTAATCATGATATAATTCAACACTAAATATTTGCCAAAGAGTAGTTCCCCTTTGCACATAATTAATTCATGAATTGGCAAAATTTATCATCCATAATAAATCTAAGCAAGATAATCTAAAAATAATACCAAAATCATCCATAAAACTGCAGTTTAGGTGTTAGGCAAGTGAATACACTGGATTGAGTGGTAAGTATGTAACTCTTGTTATGTCGTGTACGCTGCAAAGAATAAAGAGGAAGGGGAAGAGGTATACCTGGCCGAAGCCCGCTGGAGAAGAAGAGGAGGAAGGAGGAGTTGGTCTAGGTTGTGAGGGTTGTATCAAACAGCGGGAACAACAGTTTTGGCTTCTATGGAGTCGTGCAGGGCTGTTGCTGCGTGAATATAAAGACGGGATCAAGCGGTGCGATCAAGGAGGTAGGCCGAACGACTTCTGTCGGATGAGGAAGAGACGAAGCAGCTGTTCGACGGGGAGGGAAGTGAGCTTCCTGTCGAGCAGAATCGAGCCGAGCAGGAACTTCGCTTTGAAACGTGAGGCGAGCGAGGGCTTCTGTCGTTGGGGGAGATGAGTGGGGTTTTGTTGCACGAGGAAGAGGGGATCGAGACCGAGCGGGAGGAGGAAGGGGCGAATTGCAGAGGCGGGATCGAGCAGGCGTGCTTCGATGCAGAGAGACGATGATCGAGCAGAGCGGAGGATCGGGTATGCGGCTTCGGTGCGAGAGACTGGATCGGACAGTGCAGTCTGCGGCTTCGGTGCGGGAGAACGAGCAGAGCGAAGGATGCAGTCTGCGGCTTCCTCGA